CTAGGCAACCATAATGATGGTACACGTATTACAGATTCCTTCTTCAGAGTGGATACTTATGGACAGACGCCCAGCCATTTCCTTCAAACTGTTGCGCTTTCCAAGGTTATATGTGAACATCTCCTCTGCTTGGATGTCCTATGGGTCTTTAGGGGTGACTTAGATTGAATGGCCAGCTGCCTATCTAAAAGTATAAGGCTTCATGAGAGTTGCCGGGCTGACATCAAGATTACCCAACTAAACATGACTTCAGTTCATACGATAATAATGTCTGCAGGTCCGTAGGTACGTCTGCTCACCTCTTTCTCCTGAACCACCCCATCAGTGGAGTCAGAAAAGGTGCCATTAAGAAACAAAGGAGGAGACAACTACCGTATGCCCCCCTGCCGGCAGTGCCCCATATCAGTTAGGAAAATGGCTCTGTCAGTGCACAGTCAAAGGCCATCATTACATAGCAGCTAGTAGACCAGTTCTCCCCTTGCCCTGTCTCCTACTTCCAGTTCTGAAAGTGCCCAGCTTTAAATTGCAAACTGGATGGACAGGCTCTCTATTTCATTCAAAACAGTTGTAGTCCTAAGAGCTTCTAGAAGGGAGAAGCTGCAGGAAGAACAAGCTGTGAGGGGTGACTCTTCACACAGAGCTGCTTCAAGAGGAAGACCTGTGAGGAAGAGCATTCTCTGATGGCCACCAGGAGAGGGTTGGTTTCACCTGTGTTGCTACACCCTCCAGTCCCAGCAGCCTTTATAAGGGAGTTGCCTAATGGATATTTGACTTGACAATTAATAGCTGTATGCTTACTTAAATGTCTCCTATATGATTCAATGAATGTTATTTTGTTGTATTGTGTGTGTGTTATATTGCAGTGATATCATACGTCTTATTATTGTTAATATTACTTTAGACTTTGATTTTTCTGTGAACTGCTTTGATGACAGTTTTTAACCGTGGAAAACTTGGTATAGAAATAAACTGACAATGACTACGCTTATGTATTTTTAGTATTTCTTTTGGTCAGTTAGGAACTTTTTGTGGAAGAAAAGCAATGTATAAATCTAAGAAACCCAAGCCTTGTCAGGCATTTTTGAAAGGCACAGGCATCATGCTACAAAAAATGGCAGCCCTTGAGGGACCATGTACCAAGGGAACACCACACCATTATTATTTATTATTATTATTTTATTATTATTATTATTATTATTATTATTATTATTATTATATTATTATTATTATTATTATTATTCTGCCCTTCATCCACAGATCTCAGGGTGCTTCACAACATAAATTTCCAATATAAAACCACAAAATGCCTAATAAAAATAAGAACAACAACAAACCAATAATCTCCCCTCCCACGACATATTTTAAAACACGAGCTGGAAAGAGCAATGGGAAATTCCAGCCTTCACTCATCCCCTCACTTGGAAACAGGCTACATTTCCATTTCCATTGGAAAGCGTCTCGCTAGTTTTAAAATCATGGTCATTATTCACCTGAAAAAAGAAGGAAAGCCCAAAGATGCATTTAGTCAAAATAATACATTGGAGGAGGAAAAGCTTGAAGAGGAATATCCTTAACCAGCTCATTTGCAACCCAACAAAATCAAACGGTAGGGGGAAAATCCTCAGTAGATTTGTACAGCACAGCAATAGCCTTTATGCTTGGAAATTTATGGGCCATGGACAGTTTATAAGAAACGATTGTAGTTCATCAGTGAGCCAAACTGATGGAACACATGGGAGCATTCGACAGAGGAAGTTGAGTTTTGGAATAATACTTACTTTGATAGAGTTGTTTTGTTAGCTAAGTAAACAGTAGGGAAGCCTATGGCCACTTAGGCTTCAAACATAAATATATATTTATAAGTCACCCAGCTGCTTAATTGAGATCCCTAATGTTTTCACAAAGTATATCTTATCCAAAAACAATAAAACCAGAAAACAGAAGCGGCGGCCAAGACCTGCTGCAGGCTGAAGTTCGATTAATCAGTCAGCGGTTGCTAGGAAGTAACAGAATGTGACTTAAGGACCAGATTTGGATCAGGGCACGGAGCTCAAGAGACAGTCTAATTTTGGAAGCTCTTGAGAAGGAAACTTCACGGACACTGGAGCGCCTGGGTGAAAAGGTTGATTAAACACAAATCAGTATGGTAAATTTAATTTCAAGCTGATGTCGTAAGCGGTATGGTATTCTCCTGGATTGGGAGTGGATGGGCAGGGCATAGAAAATAAACGAAGTAAATTGCCTGGGATCCAAAGGGTGCCTGGTGGGCATCTGCGCATGCTCAGAGGCTCTGAAGGTTTCAGCTTCTGACTGGAGCTAAGTATGGTGCCCCAGAGGGTACTGTTGCTTTCAGCATCATTTGTGATGTGTGTGTGCTGTGCTTGGCTGGATAATTTTCCCAGTCTGCCATTTTTGAAAGAAATTCATTTTCAGTTCTGACAAAAGAAACAGAATCCGTTCCAAGTCAAATGTTTGAGTACATTCGACTTGTAGCAGTGACCTCAAAGTGTAGATCTGGACACACCAGGTTTTGTTGCCAGAATATTAGCAATGGCCTGTACAGCAGAAAGGAGCTAATGTCTGGCTCATGTTCTATCTGTTTTTGAGGGGTGAATGGGAATTACATAAGACCTGAAGTAACAAAATGTGAGAAAAGTGAAAGCAAAGCTGACTAAACGTCACAAGGATTGTGCAGAAACTGACTAAAAATCACAAAGTAACATTCAGGTATTTCAATTAAATTTCAATTTAATGTGGAAATACCCAAACCCGACTCATGAATGTGAAGCCTGCTATTTGTACCACTCCAAGTGGCAACGAGTAGGAGAGGACTCTTACATTTTGGAGATAATATTTGTGTCAGGGTAAGTACATTTTGTAATGAATGAAATGATATTTTTTTTAAATGACAGGAAAGTGAATCCTATGAAGCATAATTTAGTTGCTCATTTTCATGTTGAACGGTTAGACTTGTCTCATCCCTGTTGCTTTTGTTTGAATTCTGAACTTTTCTTGTTTCACTATAAAATAAACTTTAATTCAATTCTTCATTTAAAATAAATTATGAAAGCCATTTACTCTTCACAAGCAGGAAAGAGACATCTTGGGGACTTTTCCAAATCTCCGCTTTGTTTACAAAGAGGGGGAAATACAATTTCCCTGGATGCTTCCAAACCTTCTCACATGGAGGTTACACAGGAGGCGGCTCATTAAATTTGAGCAGAGAACTGGAAAATGAGATTTCACACTCCTGGGATGGGGGAGCTGGCATGTTTGGGGTTTCACAAAATCTTTTAAAGATATTTGGCAAGTTGTGTGCATGGTTCATGAAATATTGTGGGGCTTAAGTGAAAATATTATTGCAAGTCCTCTCCAACTGGAGTTAATTGGGTTTATCTACTCAATCAAAGGGTAGATTTCATGATAGGAAGCTCACAGGTTTTCAATTAGGCATAGGCCCTTAATCAGTAAAGATTTGCTGCCAAACCATGCACTGTTTAGAGAACAGGAACAGAAAAACACCACAAGTCAGTAGGATCCATGATAGAACTAGCACGTGCTCAGGAATTGCATTAAAACGGGGGGAAATACTGGTAGTTACCTTCCTCACAGGTAGCTAGGTAATGGAGGTGAGAGAAAAGGCCTGCCAATTGCACCCACTTTCCCTACTTGGTGCTGACCTTTAAAGCAACGGCCTCGGTCCAGTATACCTGAAGGAGCATCTCCACCCCCATCATTCTGCCCGGACGCTGAGGTCCAGCGCCGAGGGCCTTCTGGCAGTTCCCTCACTGCGAGAAGCCAAGTTACAGGGAACCAGGCAGAGGGCCTTCTCGGTAGTGGCACCCGCCCTGTGGAACACCCTCCCACCAGATGTCAAAGAGAAGAACAACTACCAGACTTTTAGAAGACATCTAAAGGCAGCCCTATTTAGGGAAGCTTTTAATGTTTAATAGGTTATTGTATTTTAGTGTTCTGTTGGAAGCCGCCCAGAGTGGCTGGGGAAACCCAGCCAGATGGGTGGGGTAATAATAATAATAATAAATAAATAAATAAATAAATAAATAAATAATTATTATTATTTTGAGGCTTATGATTTATGTGGAAATTTTTCAATTTGGTTGTGTACTTTTTGATGTTTTGTTATGTTTGTAGTTATGTCATTGTTTTATATGTTGCATCTGGAAAGGAGGCATACAAATAAATGATTGATTATCTTCTATGGCCGCTGGCTGAAAAATCATTTGAACCAAACTGAAATTGTAATAAACACAACCAAAAAAACTGCTTTTCCAGGAGAAGAGGGTTTGAAACCAGAAATGTAACATATGCAGCTTTTAAAATGGTGAATCAAATGTAAATATTTAATAGATGAATTATTGGGCCCTGCTGTGAGGATGTTTACAGCAACTTGAATAGCTCTAGATCACTATATGCTTTAAATGTTAATTCACAACCTGCATTTGTCACATATCTGCTGTATACAGATGCCAGGCCATTTTCTCCCATAATATCCCATAAGTTGTTGTGCTTTTTTGGGTGGACACTGCTGCTGGCTGCAGTATTCCGGATGTGTTCAAGAAATTCCAGACGTATGGCCACCCTGTCTCTTATCTTGTCCTCTTTCATTAGGAAGAAGAATGCCCCTACATACATGTGCTTTTTCTTTCACATAGGAAATAATGGATTTTGTGGATTGTGGTTGCAATCTCTACCGGCTAAGAAAAGTTCATGCCCATTTTAGCACACCACTGAATTCACACAGGTTTTTTGAAACTTCTACAAAGTATGAATGAAAGAATGAATGGGACGCGGGTGGCGCTGTGGTCTAAACCACTGAGCCCAGGGCTTGCCGATCAAAAAGTCGGCGGTTCGAATCCCTGCGACGGGGTGAGCTCCCATTGCTCTGTTCCAGCTCCTGCCAACCTAGCAGTTTGAAAGCACCCAAAAAAGTGCAAGTAGATTAATAGGTACCGCTCCGGCGGGTAGGTAAACAGTGTTTCCATGCGCTGCTCTGGTGTCGGTGTTCTGTTGCGCCAGAAGCGGCTTAGTCGTGCTGGCCACATGACCTGGAAAAACCGTCTGCTTAAGCGGACAAACTTCGGCTCCCTCGGCCTGTAAAGCGAGATGAGCGCCGCAACCCCAGAGTCGTTCGGGACTAGTCTTAACTGTCAGGGGTCTCTTTACCTTTACATAGTATGAACTGGAGCAGAATAATCAGTGACCAGGCCTAGAAGAAGAAGAAGAGTTTGGATTTTATATCCCGCTTTATCAATACCCGAAGGAGTCTCAAAGTGGCTAACATTCTCCTTTCCCTTCCTCCCCCACAACAAACACTCTGTGGGGTGAGTGGGGCTGAGAGACTTCAGAGAAGTATGACTGGCCCAAGGTCACCCAGCAGCTGCAGGTGGAGGAGCGGAGACGCGAACCTGGTTCCCCAGATTACGAGTCCACCACTCTTAACCACTACACCACACTGGCTCCTCAGCACATGTAGAAGTTAAGGTTAAGCTCAACACTTCTGTGGATTTCTACAGGCCCAGTGGAATCCTGTTGCTTACCTATTTGAAGGCATGGTCATCTGACAGGTAATCAGTAGCAGATGGCATGGTGGGGTGGAGATGCTTAGCACTCCCAACAGCCAGTGTCATAATGTGGTTTGCCAGTGAAAGGGTTGGGGGGGAATGCGCACCCACTGGGGCCAATGCACCCCTTGGCAGGCAAATCCCCTTGATGCCTGCAGAGAGGAGCACCAGGCGGTGCTGTTCTGCCTACCTCCCTCTGTCTGAGCCTGCTCACCGTCCCAGGAATGTGAGGGGTGAGCAAGTGCTGGCCAGCTGGCCATTCAGCAAGGGGGCCAGGGATGTGGCAGCAAGACCAGCTTGGACTTTGAGGACCAGAGACCCAAACAGCAGCAAGTCAGCTGGTGGTAGGCCAGTAAGTGTCCCAACCACAATGTCTGCTACTATGGATAATGTGAAAAGGCATGTTATGAAATGAGGGCTGTGCAAGTTGCTTTTGCTCTGGAGCATGAATAAACCGTATGGTTCATAGAGAGGGGGGAATGAATGGTGAAATGGGAGCATGCACAGACTAAAGGTCAAAGAACGAGTTGGCAGTAAATCACACCTTTCAAAGTTGGAGTTAACTCTTTCTTAGCAGAAATACAATTTTCACAGATCTGGCTGAGTGTCAGGTCCAATGGGTACAGCAGCTCACATCTAGTATGAATCAGTTACCGAGAGTGAAAGTATCTGCTGCCCCACAGCTCCCCCCCCCTCCAGGGCTTTCCCCAAGCAATCAGAGACTGACCCTGCATGCAGCCTGTCGCAGCTCTCTGTGTTTCAGCCCTCTTCTGGTTCTGGGAGGCCAGGGAGGAGAGGGGATTGTAGCAGCAGGAGGGGGAGATAACCACGACTCTTCACCAGCCTGACTTATCTCTGCTTCTTGGTTTCGAAGGTGACCCGGAAACTACAACTAACCCAGAATGCGGCAGCTAGACTGGTGACTGGGAGTGGCCGCCGGGGCCACATAACACCGGTCCTGAGAGATCTGCATTGGCTCCCAGTACGTTTCTGAACACAATTCAAAGTGTTGGTGATGACCTTTAAAGCCCTAAACGGCCTCAGCCCTGTATACCTGAAGGAGCGTCTCCACCCCCATCATTCAGCCCAGACACTGAGATCCAGCGCCGAGGGCCTTCTGGCGGTTCCCTCATTGCGAGAAGCCAAGTTACAGGGAACCAGGCAGAGGGCCTTCTCGGTAGTGGCGCCTGCCCTGTGCAACGCCCTCCCACCAGATGTGAAGGAAATAAGCAGCTATCTTATCTTTAAAAGACATCTGAAGGCAGCCCTGTTTAGGGAAATTTTTAATATTTAATGCTGTATTGTTTTTAACACTCAGTTGGAAGCCACCCAGAGTGGCTGGGGAAACTCAGCCAGATGGGCGGGGTATAAATAAATTATTATTATTATTATTATTATTATTATTATTATTATTATTATTATATTTCCCTCCTCCCATTTCTGCCTCTAATTCTGGACTTCTCTCTGCCACCGACTCTCCCAGCTCACTAAACCTTGTTACGTCTTCAGCTTTCAATGCCTGCCCTTCCCTGTCTTCTCCCTGTGGCCGCTTCTCGTTGTTCCTCCACCACTCCCCAGGCTCTGAACCTTCTTCCCTTGGTGGTTTCCCAGCTAGTTCCTCCCACTATTCCTCTGCATTCAACCAGCCCAGGACACTAACCATCCCCTGCATAGTCCTTTCACGCTGTCTGAATATGTCCCTGTGCACAGGACTGGCTTGGGACATTTTGTTTGCCACTTGAGCAAATGAACAGAAAATGGTGCCCCCCTTCTCCTCATCTGCCATCCACCGAAGCACCCTGCTGCTCCCACCGAAGCTGCCTCCTTCTGGACCCATGGAAGCTGCCCCGTGGGGAGAATAAAGGAGGCTAGGGAGGAGCAGGCAGCAGAGGTGGTGAAGCAGCAGGCAGTTCTCCCAACTGTCCCCCAATCATGGGTGGGCCAGCTCTGCTTGTGGATCTTTGCTGGAAGGACTTTGGGAAATCTGTAAGGACCTTTTAGGGATGGGAGGAGAAATCTATTAAGAAACAGGAACTGAGAGACAAAGGAGCACATGGGAGAGGTGTACTGAATATCACCTCCTCCTGCCCCATACTTGTGTCTGTGACGTTAACATATGAGAGTGCTGGAGGTGAAATAGTTAAACAGGTTACCCAATCAGAACCCAGGGGGGTGGAGTCAGAGGGACTATAAAACCAGCTCTGGGAGGGGCGAAGGAGGAGTTCGTTGGGAGTTGGGTGGTTGGTTGGAGTGGGAGTGAATTGGGATAGAGTCTGTGGGTTAGTGTAGCGAAATAAGCTGAGTCAGGAACAGTTAGGGGCTAGGAAGACAAGTAAATATCTGAGAGGTGGTTTAGTGAGTGAGAGGAGGTAGCGGAAGTTATAGGTCTGGATAGGCACCCCATGATTGTAATTGACTGAGACCGTTTATGAAACCACACGCTTGTTAAACTGCAATAAATAAACAGAAGTTTATGTTCCAACTTAACCCTGACTGGATTCAGTATTTTCCCAGGTAGGGCCTGGGTGGTGGCAGTGAGAAATAAAGTGGTGGCACGTGGATCAATAGATGGTGAAATGTCCAGGGACCCTGTGGGATCACCACAGTGTCCACCTAAAGTTGTTCCCCCCCCTCTCTCTCTTTCAGCATATGTCATGAGTTGATGCTCTAATAGCAGTAAGAGGGATTTCCAGATGAAGCACCACTTAGAGCTGCTTCTGGTGTCGTAAAGGAGGAGCGCTAAGTAGGAAACACCATGAGCGTGGCACGTACTTAGTCTCATATGACATTGTGCATTTTTGTTTCATTGTGATCATGTGCCAGGAAACTCCCGGCCAACTGCAGTTTCCCAGCACAGTGAAGCATATGCATGTTTCAATTGCCACACATGATTATTCTGTTTCCACTCTCCCCCGCCCACCCCAGCCCCCAGCAAGTAGTGATATTCATGTAGATAACTTGTCACATTTGTAGTGGCCCTTAGGAGAGAAGCAACCAAGCAAATCTGTTTGATCAGACCTTTCCCACTCATTATGTAGACTGCTATCTGCATTAAAGCTTTTAACCATTACCTACACCACAGAGCTAAAGCTATTGTTAACTTAGGTGATGGATTACAATTGAGAATGTTAATGTTACCTAAAAGAACACTTTTAATGTATGTTGCTGTAAAATAAACAAGGTCATCAAAATTAAATGGGATGTCAATGGTCTACGAAGATCACAAAGTAAACAAAAGTTCTTAAAATAAGCATGAAACCTGAATACCCCTGAGATTGTCGTGTATCAAAGACATTTGTTTATATGAAGTAAAGAGAAAATTACTTACTGGTAATGTTGTTTGTCATAAGTCTACATCTAGGCCCATCAGACTGCAAAAATCCATCATGATGAACAATGCTGTGTCTACTTCTAAGAGGAGGCAAGGAGAATGTGAAAGTGACTCATTACATTCAATTTTTTTTTAAAAATATAATATTATGGGCTTGTAGCTTATTCACTGGCAAGTCCAAACAATTGCCATTTAGTTCTACTGTAAAATAATCAATAATCCACTTTAATGCTTTCCAATAACATGTCAGATAAGTCCAAATGCGGCTCATTGGGCAAAAGCATATTGACAACAAGTTTGTCAGCTATAAACAAATTATTTTAAAGGCCATGCTGTCATTACATTTCTTTATTCTAATTTTTAAAATGTTTGCAGGGAGGCAGAAAGAAAAAGCCAATGGGTGCATTTTTTTAATAGGACAAGATTCAGATATCGCTCCCAGAACATACCCAAAGGTTCACACATCTTGTACCATATTTATTTGACTCCTGGGTCTATGGGTACTAAGGTAATGGGTGGCTATCTTCAACTGGGTTTTATGCAGAGTAGACCTGTTGAAATTAATGGGCCCAACTTAATCATGCTAATTAATTTTAATAGGTCTACTCTGAGAAAAGTTAGTTGAGTACCACCCAATGTATTTAAAGCGTTTCCCCTCTCCAGAACATGGTCAGTTTGCTTAGAACAGCCTCCTGAACGTGATGCCCTGAAGACGTCCAACTCCCATTAGCTAAAGTTGCCATAGGGATGATGGGCGTTGTAGTGCAAAACATCTGGAGGGCACCAGGTTAGGGATGGCTTGTTTAGAATGTGTTTCTCAGGTATTGAAGAATGAGATAGGCCTACTGAAGTACGTGGACATGAACCAGAAGACTAATGTAAAGATTATAATTTTTGGTAACAACCTTCAAATAGCCTTCAGAAGATGCCTCAGTGCCTGTGTTGGGACTCTGCCATCAAGGGCAACATTAGGCATGTACCTCCCGAAAAGTCTGCTTCACATCCCTTAATGTCAGCCATCCACGCATACCTTGGCAAGAGGTTTGTGGACTGACTGCACTGGTTGTTTCCTCTAGGAAAAATGAACATTTGGTTTCCTAACCCATATGTTTTGGGGGTGGGTTAGTATTATTTTTTAGCTGACCCCCAAAAAACGTGTAGGGATTGTTCCTACACTGAAACTCAAGGAAAACCCAAGATAACTCAGTACAGGATGAAGTACGGTAAAAGCTAGAATTGAAATGGCTTAGTGCTTTTACTATTCCCAATTAAGTTATATCCAGTTAATGTTTGTGTTTTTCCTCCTGAAATTTTACACATGCATGGCTACATTCCAAAATATATCAATGAGAGTTCAGAACACAAATGCCAGTTTTCTCTTTTGTAAATCTGCTCCTTTTACATTGTGATATGTTCCATGTGGTCATTCATTATAATTGCAACAGAAGTGGGATAAGTATGTTTTTTTGCACAAAACAAAACAAAAAAATGAGAGGGGCATGGGGAGGTCACCCATGGAGGTGATGAAATTGACCCATGGGAAGAAGGGGGTATTTAATCTCCCATTGCTGATAGGTTAAGTGTATCTTGGAGTTGGACAAGGAGCCAGCCATGAAGGGAGGTTTTCTGTTCAAGATAAATGAGTTCCCTTCCTTCAGGAGGCCATTCCCTTGGCTACCTGATTTCTTTATGACATCCTGGCAGCCACTCCAGTTTGTCTCTCACTGTGAGACAGTCAGCACCACACTCCTAGCACTGCAGGAAAAATAAACTCATCCAAACCAAGTAAAACACTTGGAAAAACATTGTCATGAATTGTGGTTCACTTGAAAGTTATGCATAAAGGGTTTTTTTTTTAATGTGGTAGGGAAGGCAAACCATGTGGAGACAGGCACTTCTTTATTCAAGTTCCTTTGAGCTTCTTCGAAGGATGCTGGCTTGGAAAAGGCACATGAATGCGGAGGTTGAAATGAAAGGGAACAAAATCAGTTGAGTGCAAGCTATGTTAATTTGACCACAGATCACTTGACCTTGTCCAGAGAAATGCTCAGACGGGACTGTGCACACATGAGGTTCATGAGGTTCCCTCCAGAAATCAGATTCTCAGGCAGAAAGTGCGCAGGATGTGAAAATGTAACTGTCACTTTCTTTGATTCCACTTTGGTAATCTTCATACAGCCAAAAATAACGTCACCCACTCAAGAGTAGAGCTGGGTTCTTCTTCATCATGCAGAGAGGATGGTGTTGATGCCTCTGAGAAGTGCGAATACAGGTCCAGCCGCCCGGACACCCCAAATTCTGGAACTTTGGTTTCCTCAGTGGGCAACTTATAATATGTGACTGGCAGTTTAGAGAAGAAGCTGTGCTGGTAATAGTGATGAGGATAATCATTTTTCAAAGACACATCTAGGGACTTACAGAGCAACCTAGGACAGGGAAGACTTAAGGCTTTGCATCTATGAGCTGTGTGTGAAATCTTCACAACCCACTGCCTCCACTCCAAACCAATTCCTGAAATGTTTTAGGATTGTTAAATGGATCCTGGGCCTGACCTAGCTGAGCCTACTGTTGTGCCCCTCATTGCACCATCTCTTCACTAGTGCCCCAAACACCTTCTCTATGCTCTTCACATTGCCTAGACCTGCCTCTCTTTGGCCACTCCTATTATATTCGGCTGTTGGACATGAATTGAGAAAGCTAGAGGCAGTGTTGAAATGAAGCTGGGAGCAATGCCAAGGCTCTGGAACTCCATCCTCAGGGAACTTGCCATCTCTTTCATGGTTTTGTGCCATGTGGCAAAGGGATTTCATTGCCAACCTTCCTCCTTGTCTTTTAGGGACATTTTAACAGTGAAGTTTGATCGGTTGGTGTTTCTATAGTACCACTATTTTAAGTCGGGGTAGCCAACACGATGCCCTCCAGAATTTTCGGACCACAATTCCCTGCAGCTGGCTGAGGCTGATGGGAACTATAGTCTACCCCTATTGTCATAGAATCATAGAATTTAACGTGGGTTTTCTTTTTCTTTATTGCTGTGAAATGTATGTTTCGTTCTGCTGCTTCTGGGCATTTAACTCTGCCTTCAATAATTTACTTTATTTTCTTTTTTAAAAAGTATTTAACACCTACTGTTTATTAGCTACCTTGGCAAGCTATAAATGCTTTAAATAATACAAACAAAGTCTGTCTTAGCTCATCTTAAGGGTTTTGATGTATATGGCATCTGCTATGGGATAGCAAAATTTCCAGCAATACGTAATCCTAGTGCTTTACTATTGCTTTGGTTTGGTGTCCTTGCTCAGCTGAAGAAAAGGCAGGCCTCTTTACCAAATCTGGAAAAGCAACAGATTCTGGACTGAACACAGTTGCCAGGTGCCCAGTCATGTTGCATCTTCTTCCTTTCTTAGCAGCTGGAAGAGAAGAAAACATGCATTGATGTCCTTCCCAAACCTGCAATACAGATATAAAAGGAAATAATGTGACGGATTAAATTTGATATAGGCAAACATAAAATGCTTCAAAGTTTTTGCTGTTTGAACGTCATTTGCTCACTTGTCCTGCAAACTTTATACTGGTGGTTGACTAAGGTTGCCCCCAAAAGTTGTTGAGCTATTTAAAACACGAACGCCAAAAGAACATGATTTTTCAATTGACTTGCCTAAGATCCAGGACAAAGACATACTTCCTGGACGTATGGCAGCCCTAGGTTTACAATGGTTCCTTTTACAGGTGTATTTCACTGGCTACGAAAAGCCCATAATCCCAAAAACACAACTGCTCCAAAAAGTTTCAAAAATTGAAGAGTTGTCCAGACTAGTTATTGATAAAAGAAAAGAAAAGAAAGTCATGCCGGAAGCCACAGAATGATGTCCTCTTTGGTTCTGAACCAAATGTGAAGACATATTTCCATAACAACTGTTTGTTTGTTTATTAATTAAGATGTTTGTTAACATTCACAACTGGTTAAAATGACATTAAAGCATGAACACTAAAAGACTTTGCGCAACTACTCTGAGCTGATCCTTCTCCTTTCCTTCTTTCTTTCCTTCCTTCTTCCTCTCATAAAGTGTGTACCTGTTAAAGATTGCACTAAAATGGATAAAGCAAGAGATACACTTTGGTGAAGTATGGAAAACACAAGCATGACATACTCTACAAAGATGAACCTTTCAATTGTTATGCAGCAGAGCTTCTATTCATTGAATATGCAAATAAAAAATATGCAAAAAGTCTTAAATGAGCAACAAGAATATAAGTAAAAGAGAGCTCTGTTCTATGAGAGCGAGATTGAAAATATGACAGGAAATATTAAGCTGGAATGTATTTCTCTTCAGCTTTCTGTAGTAAAAAAATATGGCAAAGAGAAGTCGTTCTACAGGTTTTCTTGACCACTCTTGGTTGCAATATGTTTTCTGTAGGGAAAATGTTGAGTTAGGAAATGTCACCTTAGCCACCAATGTGATACTATAACAAAACTTTTCTTTCTTCTCCCATGCTGCCATGGAATCAGCTCTTGTTTCCAACAGTAAAGTTCCCTTCTCCATACCATTGGTGTGAATTTTCTTCTACAACAGAAGGACCCAGGTTATGCATACAGCATGTGGGAACATGACAAATGTCATATGCTGCTGATTTAAGCCACAGATGACTGGAAGATACATGCAATTCTACTGGCAGCTGGATTAACCCTGAAACAATCATCTTTCAGTGAATCAGAAGATCCTTTGGAAAATACATCAATGACCAAGAATTGTAAATCTCTCTGACTGATATTAAGCCATTTCCGACCTGGGAGGAGAGGGGGTTGCGGGCAGAAATCCCTCCCACATCTCACACGCAGGGGCTGGCCCTTGCCCCCGCGTGAACAGGGAATCCCCGGGTGTGTCGGCGACCCGGCCCGCCAATCAGCGGGCCGGGGAGGCATGGCCTAGCCTATTTAAGACTAGGCATGCCCAGGGACCGCCCTCTTTGCCCCTTTCCAGCCGAGTCCGGTAGAGGACTCCGGGGGGCGTTGCCTTGTCCGAAACCTAGGGAGGTAAGGGCCCCCAGCACGCCCCAGAGCGGTGACACCCGTGGGATCCTAATTGGCGTACTTCAACAGGACTCCCCACGGCTTGTGGACAACCCTTCCCGGTCCCCATGCCGGGTAGTCGATAGGAGCCAATGCCTAAGGCCAATACCTTCCAATTCTGTAATCAATAAAGTTGTGGCCTTTTTATGCCCATCAACCTTAAATACTGTGTCCAGTGTCTTCATTTCACATGGGGGAGGGGACTTGCCACGCAAAGAAGGCCTTTCTGGAGAGTGTAGGTTTTAATTTGGGCGCCATAGCTCAATAAGCTTGTGTGTTATTCACATTATGCGCTGATGGTTTTTGCCAGTCATCTGTACAACTGCCTCTTCGACTTCTCTGGCATAGAGAGAGGGGTGGGGGTGGGGAATGGTTGTATTTCAGTAGCAGAGAAGTGATGTTGTGTTAATTAGTGATACCAGACTCAAAGGTGTTAAGAGGCAGAACTATAATCCTGGCTCTCATTAACTGTTTCATTCTGAATCTTTACATGAATTTGTATATTTAATCAAGAATCTTGCTTTGTAATTGCTCCATAAAAATCCCTGTAAAACTATTCAAAGGGAATTTTTCTACACGGTGAATAAAACATTCAAACCCTTCAAGTGCTATGAACATTCTCCTATTAAACACACTCTGTATCCCCTGACTATTGAATATTGTTAGGAATGGTCTATTGTGGGGGAATCCTGCAAACCAAACCAAGCAAGTCCCTGCTACATTTTAGGCATGCAGCCTGATCCTTTGCAGGTTTAAGTAGAATGGAGGCTTACTCCCAAGCAAGCCTGCACAGGAGTGCAGTCTCAATGCGATGCTAAAGCCGGAATCCTAAACCTGCTTACTACAGAGGAGATCCCATAAAACAGAGAGGGGCTGACTTCAGAGTACAACTTGCAGCTTTGGATATTATTGTCTCCATGGCCACTGGTCCCATCACCTCCTGGCAAATAGAAGGCGAAGAAATGGAGGCAGTGGGAGATTTTACTTTCTTGGGCTCCATGATCACTGTAGATGGTGACAGCAGCCACGAAATTAAAAGACGCCTGCTTCTTGGGAGAAAAGCAATGACAAACCTAGACAGCATCTTAAAAAGCAGAGACATCACCTTGCCAACAAAGGTCCGTATAGTTAAAGCTATGGTTTCCCCAGTAGTGATGTATGGAAGTGAGAGCTGGACCATAAAGAAGGCTGATGGCCAAAGAATTGATGCTTTTGAATTATGGTGCTGGAGGAGACTCTTGAGAGTCCCATGGACTGCAAGAAGATCAAACCTCTCCATTCTGGAGGAAATCAGCCCTGAGTGCTCACTGGAAGGACAGATCCTGAAGCTGAGGCTCCACCTCATGAGAAGAGAAGACTCCCAGGAAAAGACCCTGATGTTGGGAAAGATTGAGGGCACAAGGAGAAGGGGACAACAGAGGATGAGATGGTTGGACAGTGTTCTTGAAGCTACCAGCATGAGTTTCACCAAACTGCGGGAGGCAGTGGAAGACAGGAGTGCCTGGCGTGCTCTGGTCCATGGGGTCACGAAGAGTCGGACACGACTAAACGACTAAACAACAAGAAGAAGAGAGATCTGCAATGGGCAGAGATCCTGCACTAAATAACTCATGCTCATAATCTCTGATGATATCCCAGGCACTACCCAATAAATGCCCATTCAACAACCCTGTTCTCAGGTGGAGCCTCATCTGGTGAAGGTTGAGGGAAGACTGCGGTTGGTGGGACAGCTCTCCATTTGCTGTGATGGACCAGCCTCCTTACTTAGACAGCAATCCAACGGTCCCTGGAAAGGCATCTCAGGGACCACCGGATTGCAGTCTAAGTAACAAAGTTACTTTGGCCTTTTTTCACCCTAACTTTTGAGCTTCTCTTTCTTTTCCTTGCCAGATTCCACTTCTTTCCACATATCACCCTCCTCCCCTCCATGACGTTGACCAGACATAACCCAGATGGCAGACAGCAGAGGAAAAACCCTCTCCATCACTTGACTTCATGCACCCATTTAAAGATAAAACACAGGAACAATCCAGCTAAAATAATCATTCCTTGTTATTTTTTTCATTCTTCAGGGGAGAGAAAAAAAGATAAGCCTGCAGTCCTCAACACTCTTACTCATTAGTTAAGAGAAACTCCCAATTAAGGCTGACGTTCTACGCAGACTTGCTCAGAGGTACATTCTAGTTAAATCAATGGGACTTATTTCCAAGTTAATAAGTTTAGAATCGGACTGTAAAAGAATTTAGAGTTGCAGCTGATATATTTCATGAACAGCAGAAATAAAATCAATGAAGAGTTTCTAGTTTCAATGTTCCTGTAAACAACTTCAGGCTTTCTTAAAAATCAGGGCCATTTCTCTCATTACAGCAAAGCTGCTTGTGAGTCACAAAAGTATAGATGAGTCAAAGGAATCTGATATTTAAATATTTACGCAAATTAGCAAAAATGTATAAGACGTGCAATAAGTGTTGGAAATGCAAAGAAAAAGAAGGTACGTTTTACCATATGTGGTGGGAATGTAAGAAAGTGAAGGGTTTCTGGGAGATGATTTATAATGAGATGAAAAAGATGTTAAAATATACATTTGTAAAGAAACCAGAGACCTTTCTTTTAGGAATTACAGGAATCTGATATTTAAATATTTACGCAAATTAGCAAAAATGTATAAGACGTGCAATAAGTGTTGGAAATGCAAAGAAAAAGAAGGTACGTTTTACCATATGTGGTGGGAATGTAAGAAAGTGAAGGGTTTCTGGGAGATGATTTATAATGAGATGAAAAAGATGTTAAAATATACATTTGTAAAGAAACCAGAGACCTTTCTTTTAGGAATTACAGGGAATGAAATTAGAAGAAAAGACTCTAAAACTTTTTCAATATGCAGTCACAGCAGCAAGAATTCTACTGGCCCAGAAATGGAAACAAGAGGACATACCGACAATAGAAGAATGGAGACTGAAGCTGACTGATTATGCAGAATTGGACAGACTAACTGGAAAAATTAGATATCTCCGAGACCAAAAGTTCATCGAGGACTGGGGGAAATTTGTTGAATATCTGAAAAGAATATGTGATGTGCAAACAACACTGGTGGGATTTCAAGAAGCACTGTGAAAGTTGAGATATATTGTTAAAAAGAAATAGGAGTGGGAGGGAAGTTTAATGGCAATATAAACAGAGGAATGCGTAAATTGAGGGATAAATATGGATGATTGTCAGAGAAGCCGAAGGAAGTCTAAAAAGAACTAAAATTTGGCAGAATTGTATATTTGTATTGGAAAATAATAAAAATAATTTATAAAAAAAAGATATTTAAATATATACGCATCCAATAGATAAACAGACCAAATCCATCTTGATTAATCTTTTATAAAGGCAT